GTGAAATAACCCTTTAAAAAATCCGAACTTAATGACCCCAACTATGTTTTGATTAATTAGTTTATTGAACACCCTAAGGTAGCGTTAAAAAATTAAATACATATAAAATAATTATTATGAGAAATTAAAGCTTCCATGATTATATTTGTAATGAATTAAATTAATCAATACAAATTATTGGGATTTTTTAAATCACTAATTAATTTAACTATGTTAATTATAGTAATAGAGGGACACTTTAAGAATAGTTAACCGAGTGATCGACAATCATTTGATAAACATATCATGACGTCATTTATATACCAGAATTAAATAAACTGGCCTAAACAATGCTCCCAAACTAACCCTAACCTAATCCTAACCTAGGCCGAATAATGATCATGTGATATTGTGATTCTCAATATAAAAAATCACAAGCAATCTATTTAATAAAGAGAACTTAATAATCTAAGTAATGAAATTATTAATATTTAAGTCTCACTAATAAGTATGCAAGAACATCATAATATTCAACACAGAGTAATGGCTGCGCACATAATTGCGTATCGCTTCCCAACAAGTCGCACATTATCACCGTGAAGTTTTTATATCAATAATGTCTGATCTAGTTAGTAAAAAGTTATTACAGTACGTAAAATGACTACATAAATGACCATGTTAGATTTGGTTATTATATAACACTATGTATTTATCGATATTTCAAAAAAAATAAAGTTTAGTACGTTCAGAATTATACGTAGCACTGAAATTTAAGAACTTTTCACTGCATTGCATGTACCATATCAACTACATAATAATCCAGTGCTTGCATTGGACAGTCGCTCAATTTTTTAGACGTATAAAATTGGATGTACAAAGGTAAACTAATAAAACCTTTCATTTTAAGATCGTGATAATTATATTCTTTGATATCAGAGTCAAATTAAGGTTTATAATGTAACAATGCATTTTTTGTACTTCCTTACTTCATTTACATGATAAACTTTGTCACACAATTAATGTCTATTATTAATCGTATTTGATTTAAGATCTTCAAAAATCTTCTCTTAAAACATAACAATGTCAAATTGGCTTAAGACTGCTATTGAACAAGTATATATTAGGTTATTTGAGTTTGATTCTTTCGAGAATTTACAAACTATCGAGAGAGGTGGATTTGGAACTGTATCTAGTGCTTATTCAAAAAATTTTGATCAAACTGTAGCTTTAAAGAGCTTACATAATTCTTTTGATGACGATCAGAATGATCAGAATAATAATTTTATTAGAGAAGTATGAATTATTTTATATCATAATGAAAGTAAAAATACATATTATTGTTTTATGCATTCCAAATATTAATAATATATTTTCAAATTAAGATTAAAAACATTACTAAAGTTAATCAACATGAACATATAATACGGTTTCTTGGAATCACCCAAGGTACAGGACATAAATTTAATATAATAGGCAAATAAAGTTTATAAATTTCTATTTAATAATGTAATTTTAATATAAAATTAGATCCTAAAACTGAAACCTACTACATGATTCTTCAATTCGCAAATAATGGTGACCTTCGAAGCTATTTACGTAATCATTTTTCGGAATTAGATTGGCCAACTAAGATTAGAATGGCTAAAGAAATTTCTAGTGGGCTTAATTATTTGCATAGTTCTGATATTGTTCATCGCGACCTTGTAAGATTTTCTATTCGTTTTATTTATCGTATCATTATTTTTATATACTTTAATTAATAATTTGCATAACTACTTTTTTTAGCATGATAAAAATATATTAGTACATGATAATAGACTATTAATTACCGATTTTGGTTTAGCCAAATCATTAGGAAACAATTCTAAGTCTATATCTATTATTGCCGGAACATGTGCTTATTCTGACCCACTATATCTTCAAAGTCCATACTTACATAAACGAAACAAACCTTCTGATATTTATAGTCTCGGCTTACTTTTTTGGGAATTATCAAGTGGTGTTCCTCCTTTTAAAAATATACAAGACGTTAAAGAATTATCATTACATATAATCTCTGGTAAAAGAGAAACTCCAATTGATGGAACTCATATTGATTTTGTAAACCTTTACACTGATGCTTGGAATGGTGATGCGAATTTACGCCCTAACACAAATGAAATCCGTCATAAATTAAACCAGATTCAAATAGAAAAAGTTTATCATAATGAACAAGATTTTAATAGTGAAAAAGATTTTAATCGTGGTAATAGGATCAGTGAAGATTATACATCAAACCCGAAAACTTCGATAGGTTGGTTATTATTTATTACTAGGATTACTGTTTTATAATATGTGTAATAACAACTAATATATGCTTTATAGAAGAACGATTTAGAGAATTGCGAGTTGTTTATTCAGATCAAAATTCATTAGAATCATTAATAAATCGAGGAAATAATCATCGCGAAAACAATAGATTCGAAGAATCGCTTGCTGATTTAACAAAAGCATTAAAAATTGATCCTAATAATATAATTGCATTAAGAAGTCGTGGTATAACTTATAGTATGGTTAACAAATACAAAGAATCTCTTGATGATTTAAATAAATCATTAAAAATTAATCAAAAAAATGTTGAAGCACTAATAAGTCGAGGATGCATTTATCGCAAAATGAGTAGATATATAGAATCACTTAATGATTTAAATAAAATTTTAGAGATTGATTCAAATAATATTGAAGCATTATGTGGTCGTGGAATAACTTATCGAAAAATGAATGAATACAGAAGATCACTTGCGGATTTAAATAAATTATTAGAAATTGATCCAGATAATGCAAAGGCATTAAGAAATCGTGGGGAAACTTATCGAATGATGGGAAAATATAAAGAATCTCTTGTTAGTTTTAATAAATCATTAGAAATTGAACCAGATAATGCTTTTGCATTAAGTAGTCGTGGTGAAACTTATCGTAAGATGAATAGATGTGGGGATTCTCTTGCTGATTTCAATAAATCTTTAGAAATTGAACCAAAAAATGCTTTTGCATTAAGTAGTCGTGGTGAAACTTATCGCATGATGAACGAATATGAAAAGTCACTTGCTGATTTCAATGAATCTTTAGAAATTGATCCAAATGATATATTTGCATTAGAAAGTCGTCAAAAAGTTTATAAAATAATGAACAAAAAATCAATATTTAAAAAATTTATGCAATACCGTTATAAATAATTTTCATATGATCCACTTATATGTGAGATAATTGTAGAATATAGTAATGAGACAATATTTGCAAATAGACATTGTTTTATCTAGCAAAATATGGTTTGGAAAAAAAATATAATAATTGGTTTGTTTCTAAATTTATTTGATATTAATATTTACGTTGGTCTGATATATCAGAAAAACTTATAACCTTTGTAGATTCAAAATTCTAGGGATGTTAAGTGGTGCGCCTGGTGCAGTCCGGTCCCAGTCCCTAAAAAGTCTGAGTCCGAACTAGTTAAGGGACTAGTTCACTCCCCTGTCAAAAAAAATTAAAAAACCGGTCCTACTCTACGGTTTAATGTATTGTTTTAATTGCAGAATTGCTAATTACATGGATTGTACGTATTAAATTCGTTTTGTATTGTAATCATATTTATTTAAGATCAACATAAATTAGCCAATTAGATGATCTTGAGATCACAAGATTATAAGACTAGTTTTTGGGCCAGTCCTGTACTAGTCCCTAAAAAGTCCGGTCTGGACCAGTTATGAACCCGTTTCCCGTGGACCACTTAACATCCCTAGACAAAAGATATTAAAAATAGTTAATATTGCGAATGTGATATGGGGATGTCCATAATTTACGTTAAACCAGCGTTGTTATAGGAATCTTAAAGATAATACAGTCTCTATTTTTATACAATACCGTACTGGTTTAACGTAAATTATGGATGTCCCCTATAATATTAATCGAACAATACGCTGTAATAGTAACACGAAAAATTTTTATATACTTATCATGCATTAATCACACCGAAATCGAATTCGGCCGAATAGTAGTTAACGGACAATTTTTTTAGGTATTCCAGAATTTATGAACAGCTGTAAAACCGGCTTATATTAAACCGATTTACAATTAAAACCAATTTAACCAACCTCTAGTCTTAACGTCCTTAATTACAAAATATTCGTTGATACGCACATCAAATAAAGAATTTAGTTATATGTTAGAACTTCATTTTTTTAATTTGTCTTGCGTCCGTGAAGAGTTCTGAGATTTCCTGAATTATTTCTTACGTTATCGCAATCGTCATTGTCATCATCATCGTCAGTGTCATCGTCTAAATAGTTCAATTTATCCATTATTGATCAAGCCTAGAGTTTCAATAATTATTGCCTTTGCACGTAAAATTTTTTTGATGATAAAAGTTAATGGCTGTGATTTCGTTAAACGACCAGCAACTTCATAAATTTTGCCACGTTTAACACACCTTTTATTCGTATTTTCGATATTTTCTTCATTTGAGTAACTTGTAAGGTTCCTATTACTTTGACAATTGCTCTCGACTTCTCGATTCTCATTTAAATACATCATAAATGTTTTTTTCGAGTTACAAATTGATGCACTTAAATAACATTATTAAAAACAATTAAAGAGAAGGATTTATGTAACCTTCTTTCTAATACGCAAGTCCAATCAGGCATATCTTTGACCAAAATAAAATAAATAATTTATCAAACCAATGTACGCAATTATGGGGCAAAACCTGACTGAAGTTCCACCATAATCACTTGGGAGATGTCTGTGTTCAGGGCGAAACCTGACCCAGATTCCCTTAATATCGGTTCAGGGCGAAACCTGACCAAGATCTATGGTTCAGCAGGGCGAAACCTTACCTTAATATCTGTAGTTCAGGGCGAAACCTGACTCAAGTTCCCTTAAAATTTTGTTGGTTTAGGGCAATGGTTCAGGGCGAAACCTAATCATAATATCTGTAGTTCAGGACGAAACCTGACTCAGATCCCCTTAAAAACAAAATAGAGAATAAAATAGTCACCCATGATATATTCAAAATAGTCGCTACCGTGGTAAATCGTTTCGTCCATGCGCCTTGTAATGCTGCTGTTTGATTTGATTCTGGAGGAGATCTGGCTATGAAATCAATGTGCAAACGAACAAATTCTGAAATACTGGAACGTTATTGTTCACCAATGTCCACAGGAAATACAACTTAAGAACTATAAAAGTTTGCTTGACATTGTATTGGTAAACAAAGTACAAAGAGTCATATTTATTCCAGAAAAGCTTTCACCTTCAAAAGCATATGGATAGGTACTATCATTATTATCGAAGAAAGAGATGGGTATGTTGAGAAGATAGCGTGAGAATTTATAAAAATTTCAAACGCGATATTTAAATATGGACTCATCATGCATGCCGATCTTCGTCAAAACAATCTAATTCTGGTCACATTTGCAGATCATTTGGCCTGGGGGGATGTTTTAAAACTCATCCCCAGGCCAAATGATCTGCAAATGTGACCAGAATTAGATTGTTTTGACGAAGATCGGCCCATATGACAATACAGTCAACGCGTGCAACGGGCTAGTGGTGTGAGCGCAATGTCGTATTAAGTTTCACAAAAACTCAATTATATTGTGATCCAATGATCCAAATTGGGTGAATTTGATATCATTCGATTCGTCTCGATGTGACGAATCGAATGATACCCAAACAATTCAATTTGAATCACTGGATCGCGATATATTCTCGAAAAACTACTTAATGAATTACGACAGAATTACGGCACGTTTGCCGTAATTCATTAAATCATTATTTGCGATTACCTTGTGATCCAGTTATTCGAATTGGATGATTTTGGTATCATTTGATTCGTCTCATCGAGACGAATCGAGTGGTG